TATATTTATCCATGAAATGATGTCTTGCACATAGTAGACATGCAGTAAATACATGTTGAATGAATGAATAAAAGCAACATTTTACTCTAATTCTTAAGTAGGAGATGGCAGTTCCTACTAGCAGCAGTTGTTTTCATTTTTTTTTTTTTTTCTATTTTAGCTCTTCAATATTACTCCTCAGGGAATCTGGCAAACTGAAATCTGTTACATTAATGCCAACAGGGATATATGTGTGTGAAGAGAATAAGTAAACATTTATTGTACCTGATGGCTCAATGGACCATCCACATAAGCTCTTAAGAGACTTGGAAATACTTGGCAGTATTTATAGTTAGGGTGGACTCTGCAATTACTATATGTGGATTTTATGCTTTGAAAATTTCTATTTTTTTGAATCATTTGGGATTTTTCAGTTCAAAACTGTTGGACTAATCTCTAACTATGTAGCTCCTTTTTCTTTGGTAATGAGTTAATCTCTTAAAATTTCAATTAAAATTTTGATGTTATTAAGTTTTCAGTCTAAATTAGTGTCAAAATAACTTCCAAGGACAGATTTAATAACCAGCACTTTTTAAAAATATATATTTTTCCTAATCTTAGCAAAAATAACAAAAACATTGACAACTGCCACTTTTTGAGAGTCTGATATGTGACAGTTCCTTTTTTGGTGTTTTATATATTAATACATATATGGTTTTACCTTATTATAGAGAAGAGGAAGGCAAAGCAGAGAGAGATATAATGTCTTACACAAAGTCATGCAGATCATATGTTTTTGAACTGAGATTCAAACCAACACTCAAGCTATTTCTACAATGACAAACTAAATCCCCAAAATTTATATTTAACTTGTATAAAATCTTCTGAGATAAGTAAGCCTTTATTTGGCAGAGGTTAGTATTAGAACATTCTGCATCTATATAAATAATTTTATGAGAATAATAGAAATTCAGAGCTAGGAAAAGTTTAAAGATAATCCAATTTGGTAATTCTTAGACATTTTGGGTTTTATATCATCTTACATTTTTAATAATAATTGAAGATCTCTAAAAGCATTTGTAAGATATTTTCATAGGTTTTCTTTAATATTTGATTTAATGGGAGGAAGCGGGATTTTCCTATCTGTTTCTTCACTATCTGATTAGGATGGGCACTAAGTTACATTATGGAAATACATGGAGATGGTTTTGAAGGGGTCTATTTTTTACCTCCCTCCTACTCCTATTAATGGCACAATAATCTACCTCCACCTCCCTCCTTCTCCTAGTAATGGCACAACAATCTACCCAAACCACCCTAGTAGAACTGTCCTTACCTAGGTCATCAATGATTTTGTAGTTAAATTTAATAAACACATTTTAAAGTGTTTACCATTATTTCTTTGTTAACTAGCAACCCTTGACATGGCTGATCACTCCTCTCACTTTGAACCCTCAGCTGACCTGATCCTCCTATGATCTCATGCTCAATGGAAGCACTGTCTCTCCCTAGCCGCCTAAACCAGAAACCTGGGACACTTCCCTGACTCAGCCCTCTCCCTCACCAAGTACTGTCAGTACTTTCTCAAAAATCTCTCTCTGGTCCATCCACTTCTATCTCTCCCTACCATCTTGCCTTGCACACACATCTTGGCCTTTCCTAACCTGCTTTATTATAACTGCCTTCCAACTCTTTCTTCCTCCAGTTTTAGCTCTTCTGATCTGTCCTCCATATTGAAAATGTGAGTGATTCCTTTTCTTTTTTTTCTTTTCTTTTCTTTCCTTTCCTTTCCTTTCCTTTCGTTCTTTTCTTTTTTAGAGAGCGAGGGGGGAGTAAGAGGGGAGGGGTTAGAGGGAGAGGGAGAAGGAAAATCCTAAGCAGGCTTCACGCCCAGTGTGGAGCCCAACATGGGGTTCAGTCATGACCTGAGATCATGACCTGAGCTGAAACCAAGAGTCGGACACTTAACCAAGTCGGGCATCTGAGTGATTCTTTTGAAATGTGGATTCCAAGTGGGCATTTTCCACTACCCTTAAGACCTTAACTCTGAAATAATTTACATGGGCTTCTTAAGGAACCCATGCCCTCTGAAATTACACTGGTCACCACTTCTTCCTTGTTTCTTAAGATTCTTTGCCCACGGTCTCTCACCTCCCTACCAGTATAAAAAAACTTTTTTTTTTTTTTTTCCTATCTATTCCTTCCACTCTTACTCCTTTTATTCAGGTATTAACTGAATGTCACTTCCTTTGAGGTAATTTTCGTGAGCATTCTCATTCCAAGTTCAATGATTCTGCTGTATTCTTCATCAGTAATTGCATTTTCCCCACCAAAATATTATTTGCCATTTTTCATTTATAATTGCCTGCTTAATAGCCTTTACCTGCCCTCCCCCACATATTTTTAACATGGTATGGGCAGGAAATTTGTCTATTTTACTTTTCATTGTATTGCCAATATCTAGAACACTGCTTGACCCATAGTAAGAATTTAATAAACATTTGTTTGATGTGGGAGTAAATGAATGGTGTCTTCTTTTCTTTCTCTTTTTCCTACAGTCAGCTGTATTTACAGTTTTCTGATTCATGTTTCCTAATGAAGTTGGAATTCATTCTTTGAATTATTTTATTGTCTTATGCTACTAGCTAATATAGTTCTTATCTTATAATATCGTTATGCCAAAGTGGTTCAAAAGTGACTCCCATATGACACTTAGCTGAAACCAGACTTATCTTTGGAAATTGGCCTCATTTTTTGATGACCAGGAAAATCATCTGGGAAGACTGTAATCCTCTGCAGAGTCTGATTCAGCTATTTAGATTGTAACCAGCTTCATAGATTACTGTCATACCTTCCAAAGTTTGGGAGCCATTGCCTTCCTGCAATTATATTCTAGTTTATTTATAAAAAGTAGTTAAACAATGCATTCCCATGTGCAAATAAATATATAGACTTTTATACATGTTTTGGAGGATTTTCTAAGTCCAGTGTTAAACAACTACAGGTATTACAAATTCAAATATTTGTTTTTATGTTTGTTTAGCTTGTTAACATCTGTACTCATTATATACATGTTAATTCTCTAGACTGAATTGTATTATGTTTAATGGGTACCTTTAATATCAGTTAATTATGTAATATTAATTTTACTAAAGTTAGTAAATATTTAAATTTATAAAACAAAATGAGACAATTGTAGTATACTGTGTAATTTATGTAATATTATTTATAGAATTTTAAATGGCAAAATTATAAAATAAATAAATTTTATGAAACAATATTTTAAAAGCAAAAGATACTAGGTATATTTGTGAATTTACATATTTTTTAAACTGTATGTCTCATTTGAGGATGCAAATACTGAAAACTAGTCATGTTAATTTTATTAACTATGTTGAAACATACTGAAGTGTACCATTATATGTATGAAGGTCTATTTATTTAAAAAATGAATGAAAAAAAGTCCTAGAATTAGATTTTACTCTCTGGATCATATGTTATTTTAATATACAGTTTTTTTACTCATAATAAGATATATTTTTATTCCTGTTATTCCAGTTTCCATAAAGTAACGCACACACACACGCACACACACACACACACAAACTCACAAAGAGAAAGCTCCAGATTAGTTATTCACAAATATATTCCTTTATTATTATTTGTTCTACTAATATTTATGAAGGTAGTTCTTCAGGGAAGACAGAAATTGAGAGAAATACAGAGATGAGATGGGATAAAGGGTAAATAAGAAAGAAGAGGAGGAGGAGGAGACAAGGAAATTGCTTAATTTGATTCAAGCTAGGATAGAATTAGATGATCCTTTTTTTCTTATCACATTTTTTATATATTGGGTCTTTTATATGAGTTCTTGAAGAGGTTTCATTACTTGAAGTTTGTATAAAAGAATAAATCTGATGATTTGTCTCTGTTAATTAAAAATATCTTACAGTGGGCGCCTGGGTGGCTCAGTTGGTTGAGCGACTGCCTTCGGCTCAGGTCATGATCCTGGAGTCCCTGGATCGAGTCCCACATCGGGCTCCCTGCTCGGCGGGGAGCCTGCTTCTCCCTCTGACCCTCCCCCCTCTCATGTGCTCTCTGTCTCTCATTCTCTCTGTCTCAAATAAATAAATAAAATCTTTAAAAAAAAATTAAAAAAAAATAAATAAATAAAAATATCTTACAGTTCTATATTAAACATGTATCTACTAATTTGATATAATTTTTGAAACACATACTTGGGAGCTACTTCTCTAGGAAAATATTTGCTTTACTAATAATGTGTGTGGTTATATTTATTTCTGAAGTTAATGTTATATCTTGCAAATAGTACAAAAAAGTTTTATTTCTTTAATTTAATTATGGTTCAGGCTACTACTTAGAGTCTATTTTATTAAAGAAAGTTACCTTACTCTTACGTATATACCAAATTACTAGCCCATTACTTGTAACCAAAAACAAAAAAGTAACCAGAGTTTCTAACACCAGAGAATAATAACATAAATTACGTCTGCTATAAAATACAGTGTGAAATGGATGAACTAGAACAATAGTTACTGACATACAACAACTTTTAAGACATTGTCACAAGCTACTATTCTTGTAAAATACAAAACAAAACAAAGCTCTATGTATATATGCGGAAATGCATAGAAAATGTATGGAGGAATAATATTTGTAAGCTATTAACTGTGACAACGCTTTGGGAGCAGAATTGGGGTACAGAGGGAGATTATTTTGCTCTATATCCTTTTATTTATTTAAATTATTCACATCAATTTACAATCATGTATGTCTTCCATAATTTGTAAAAGAATTTCTTAAAGAATTTTGAGAAATGATCATTTTAACAAAAATAACTGGGGATGTGGAGTTAGGAAGTAGGAATTTCAGTGGTCATACCATGAAATGCACATATACATGGTCAAGAAAATCAGGTGTTGAGGTGAATATGTTCTATGATTCTATGACCTACTCTGTTTTTTCTCTAATATTCTTTTTCTCCCCTTTTTTCATTATAGGTCTCATTCGATTGCAGGAGCTCATCAAAGCTCCATCAAGGTATAATCTTAGGCTTAAAATCCGTCAACTACCTGCTGATACAAAGGATGCAAAACCCTTACTAAAGGAAATGAAAAGAGGCAAGGAGTTCCATGTAATCTTTGACTGTAGCCATGAAATGGCAGCAGGCATTTTGAAACAGGTAATCTTTAACTTACCTAAATTCTTGGTTTCTTTATTACATTTGCATTTAAAGCATGGTTTTTTTGTTTGTTTGGTTGGTTTTTTTTTGGGAGGGGAGAGAGTGAGCACAAGCAGGGGAGGGGCAGAGGGAAAGGAAGAGAAATCCTGAAGCAGACTCCCCTCTGAGGGCAGAGCCTGACTCAGAGCTAGATCCCAGGACCCTGAGATGGTGACCACAGCCAAAATCAGGAGTCGGACCCTTAACCCACTGAGACACTCAGGTGCTCCTTTTTTTTTTTTTTTTAAATCAAAGTGTTATTGTCACACAGTTAAAATGAGCCAGAGAAGTCACTTTGATGTAATTTTCTGATAAAAATCTGACATTTGCTTTTAATTAATTCTTAAAGGAAAAGTAAGCAAATATTGATGCTCTTCAAAGCACATTGTTTGAAGTTCTGAGATTACTTTCAAATGGATACAATGCTGTTTGCTATAATGAATGTTGGTTATTGAGATATTTCTGTTTCGTACTGAAATGAAGGAATAAACTGAGAGTCAATGACTGAGCATCTCAACCATTACAATCAACCCATTGAAAAAAGAGAAAAAAAGATTTGCTATTTAGCTGGCATCTTCCAGGAGATGCCTTACACATTTGATCTTATTTAATCATGACTGCAACCCCATGAAGTAGAGACTATCTTCACTTCAGAGATGAAGAAATGGAGTCTTAGAAAGATTGAGTAACTTGATCAATGACCAGGAGCAAGAAATAGCAGAGGGATTGATATCTCACCTACGATGTTAAGTATTCATTCCAGAACAAAGCGTTGCCTGACTCAAAAGATAATACTAAATTGATCAAATGAAATAATTCATAGCAGTGAAATCTTTTAATGTTGTTTCGGCACTATTCCACCCTAAGAGCATACTGCAAAGCAGCAATTATTATTCTCCCATATATTACAGATGAGGCAAGACATGGATGTTGGTAGTTAAATGGCTAGTATGAGCCAATATACTTACTATGCATAAAGTCTAGATTTGGACCCAAGTCTTTGGACTTTGTTTTTTAAGCTCTTTTATACATACTGGCTGATATCACAGTGGCTTGGGATTAGTCAACTGTCCTAAAACCTCTCATGTATAAGATAAATTTCTCTACTAGAGAATTATACAGATTCAGATGTCAAATTATACCCCATAAAATGTAACTATCAACAGTAAATGCCTGTTACAACATGGTTAGTTTACTAAGCAGATGTTTGTCTAATCTTCCAATATGAATGTTGGTTTCACTACAGTAAAATCTTTAATTGGATTTGGAAAATTGCTCTAGTGTTATATTTGGGTAGTAAAGCATATGAAATTTGGGTGTGTTTTTGTTTCTTGTGGGTCTTTTTTGGTAGTGAATAAAGTGATACAATAAAGTAAGCAGTGAAATCTAGACTAGGGATTTATTTTTCATATATACTAAAAACAATTCTTGGTCATATTTAAAATATACAGACTTGGAAAGGAGAGCTTTACTTTATGCCCAGAGTGAGAAGCACTCTAGGATTTGTCAGGACAGAGCTTTGATAGGTTTTCTCTAGGCTTCCAGCAAGTATGTAAATGATCAGTTGTCTTGTCTCTAAAGTAACTGACTTATTTTGCATATCTGAAAGTTTACAGTATCCATCAACTTTAAAAATAGAATTGCCATTCTGCCTTCTATTTGATATATCCATTATTTTATAATTGTTTTCTTATATGTAACCTGCTCTGTTTGCAAAATAAAAACAGAATTAAGATAATATTTAAAATATATACAGGGGCATCTGGGTGGCTCAGTCGGTTAAGCATCTCCCTTCAGCTCAGGTCATGATCTCTGGGTCCTGGGATAGAGCCCCACCTAGCATTGGCTCCTTGCTCAGCGGGGAGACTGCTTCTCCCTCTCCCTCTGCTCATGCTCTCTCTCTCTCCCAAATAAATAATCTTGAAAAAAATAAAATAAAATATATACAGCAAAAGAAGTTAATAGTTTTAGCAAGATTAGTAGATGAAATATCAGAGCAAAGGTAAAATGATAATATGAGAGTTAAGATGAATTCAGAGTAACATTAGTACACAGAATGCATGTGTTTAGATTCTGTAACACTAACAAACCACATATATGGTGTTTGTTTTTTTTTTAATTTTACTTTATTATGTTATGTTAATCATCATACATTACATCATTAGTTTTTGCTGTAGTGTTCCATGATTCATTGTTTGCATATAACACCCAGTGCTCCATTCAATATGTGCCCTCTTAAATACCCACCACCAGGCTAACTCATCCCCCCACCCCCTCCCATCTAGAACCCTCAGTTTGTTTCTCAGAGTCCATAGTCTCTCATGGTTCTCTCCCCTTCCAATTCCCCCCCTTCATTTTTCCCTTCCTACTATCTTCATTTTTTTTTTTAACATATAATGTATTATTTATTTCAGAGGTACAGGTCTGTGAGTCAACAGTCATACACAATTCACAGCACTCACCATAGCACATACCCTCCCCAATGTCTATCACCCAGCCACACCATCCCTCCCCACCCCCACCACTCCAGCAACCCTCAGTTTGTTTCCTGAGATTAAGAATTCCTCATATCAATGAGATCATATAATACATGTCTTTCTCTGACTGACTTATCTCGCTGAGCATAATACCCTCTAGTTCCATCCATGTCGTTGCAAGTGACAACATTACGTTCCTTTTGATGGCTGCATACTATTCCATTGTATATATATATACAAAATCTTCTTTATCCATTCATCTATTGATAGACATCTTGGCTCTTTCCATGGTTTGGCTATTGTGGACATTGCTGCTATAAACATTGAGGTGCACGTAACTCTTTAGATCACTACATTTGTATCCTTGGGGTAAATACACAGTAGTGCAATTGCTGGGCTGTACAGTAACTCTATTTTCAAATTTTGAGGAACCTCCATACTGTTTTCCAGAGTGGCTGCACCAGCTTGCATTCCCAACAGTGTAGGAGGGTTCCACTTTCTCTGCATCCCTGCCAAAATCTGTCATTTCCTGACTTGTTAATTTTAGCCATTCTGACAGGTGTGAGGTGGTATCTTATTGAGGGTTTGATTTGGATTTCCCTGATGCTGAGCGATGTTGAGCACTTTTTCATGTGTCTGTTGGATATTTGGATGTCTTTGGAAAAATGTCTGTTCATGTCTTCTGCCCATTTCTTGATTGGATCATTTGTTCTTTGGGTGTGGAGTTTGATAAGTTCTTTATAGATTTTGGATACTAGCCCTTTATCTGGTATGTCATTTGCAAATGTCTTCTCCCACTCTGTTGGTTGTCTTTTGGTTTTGTTGACTGTTTCCTGTCCTGTGCAAAAGCTTTTTATCTTGATGAAGTCCCAATAGTTCATTTTTGCCCTTGCTTCCCTTGCCTTTTGGTGATGTTTCTAGGAAGAAGTTGCTTCAGCTGAGGTTGAAGAGGTTGCTGCCTGTGTTCTCCTTTAGGATTTTGATGGACTCTTGTCTCACATTGAGGTCTTTCAACCATCTGGAGTCTATTTTTGTGTGTGGTGTAAGGAAATGGTCCAGTTTCATTCTTCTGCATGTGGCTGTCCAATTTTCCCAAAACCATTTGTTGAAGAGACTGTCTTTTTTCCATTGGACATTCTTTCCTGCTTTGTCAAAGATGAGTTGATGAAAGAGTTGAGGGTCCATTTCTGGGCTCTCTATTCTGTTCCATTGATCTATGTGTCTGTTTTAGTGCCACTACCATACTGTCTTGATGATGACAGCTTTGTAATAGAGCTGGACGTCCGGAATTGTGATGCCACCAGCTTTGCTTTTCTTTTTCAACATTCCTCTGGCTATTCGGGGTCTTTTCTGGTTCCATACAAATTTTAGGATTATTTTTCTATTTCTTTGAAAAAAGTTGATGGTATTTTGATAGGAATTGCATTAAATGTGTAGATTGCTCTAGGTAGCATTGACATCTTCACAATATTTGTTCCTCCGATCCATGAGCATGGAATGCTTTTTCCATTTCTTTGTGTCTTCCTCAATTTCTTTCATGAGTATTTTAACTTTGCCTCTTTGGTTATTTATTCCTAGGTATCTTATGGTTTTGGTTGCAATTGTAAATGGGATTGACTCCCTAATTTCTCTTTCTTCTGTCTTGTTGGTATATAGAGATGCCACTGATTTCTGTGCATTGATTTTATATCCTGCCACTTTCCTGAATTCCTGTATGATCTCTAGCAGTTTTGGGGTAGAGTCTTTTGGGTTTTCCACATAAAGTATCATATCATCTGCAAAGAGTGACAGTTTGACTTCGTTGCCGATTTGGATGCCTTTGATTTCTTTTTGTGGTCTGATTGCTGTGGCTAGGACTTCTAATACTATGTTGAATAGCAGTGGTGATAATGGACATCCCTGCCGTGTTCCTGACCTTAGGGGGAAAGCTCTCAGTTTTTCCCCATTGAGAACAATATTCACTGTGGGTTTTTCATAGATGGCTTTTATGATATTGAGGTATGTACCCTCTATCCCTACACTCTGAAGAGTTTTGATCCAGAAAGGATGCTGTACTTTGTCAAATGCTTTTTCTGCATCTATTGAGAGGATCATATGTTTTTTGTTCTTTCTTTTATTAATGTAGCGTATCACATTGATTGATTTGCAGATGTTGAACCAAACTTGCAGCCCAGGAATAAATCCCACTTGGTCGTGGTGAATAATCCTTTTAATGTACTGTTGGATCCTATTGGCTAGTATTTTGGTGAGAATTTTTGCATCCATGTTCATCAGGGATATTGGCCTGTAATTCTCCTTTTTGATGGGGTCTTTGTCTGATTTTGGGATCAAGGTAATGGTGCCCTCATAAAATGAGTTTGGAAGTTTTCCTTCCATTTCTATTTTTTGGAACAGTTTCAGAAGAATAGGTATTAATTCTTCTTTAAATGTTTGGTAGAATTCCCCTGGGAAGTCATCTGGCCCTGGGCTCTTGTTTGTTGGGTG